TCTTCCCCCAGAGGGTGGCACTGAATTCCCCCAGGGAATGGCCCCATCCCAGCCCTGCCAGAGCTGCAGCGATGCCTTTTGTCAATTCTGTGAGGTTCATTCCGAATTCCCCCCTAAGCCAGCCCAGAACCTGGCACCACCAACCCCAACCCCTCAGGCCCCACCAGGAGCTGCAGGGCTGTGATTCTGGGCCCGGATCAGCGCCCCCCGAGCCCCCCACGTACCCATGAAGTACCAGGCTCCCATGGTGGGCGATGCCACCAGCTGGTCGATGAGCACCTTCTTGATGCCGGTGCGCAGGCAGCGCACGCCCCGCGCCGGCAGCGCCCAGTCCAGCCACAGGTACCAGTAATGCATCAGGGGGCCCAGGCTGCAGCCCACCACGAACATCCTGCCTGCAACCACAGGGACAGCACGGCTGGGGGGCAAGGAGGGCACTCGGGGGGAGGAATTCAGCACTGGCAGGGTGGGGATGGGTTTCATGGCTGTCCCTGGAGCCCTGGATGGATCCCAGGAAAGGTTCTGGGGTTTGGGATGGGGATCAGGGGAAGGTTCAGGGATTTGGGATGGGGATCAGGGAAAGGTTCAGGGGTTTGGGATGGGGATCAGGGAAAGGTTCAGAGATTTGGGATGGAGATCAGGAAAGGTTCAGAGATTTGGGATGGAGATCAGGGAAAGGTTCAGGGATTTGGGATGGGGGTCAGGGACAGGTTCAGGGGTTTGGGATGGAGATCAGGGAAAGGTTCTGGAGTTTGGGATGGAGATCAGGAAAGGTTCAGAGATTTGGGATGGAGATCAGGGAAAGGTTCAGAGATTTGGGATGGAGATCAGGGAAAGGTTCAGGGGTTTGGGATGGGGATCAGGGAAAGGTTCTGGGGTTGGGATGGAGATCAGGGAAAGGTTCAGGGATTTGGGATGGGGATCAGGGAAAGGTTCAGGGCTTTGGGATGGGGATCAAGGAAAGGTTCAGGGGTTTGGGATGGAGATCAGGGAAAGGTTCAGAGATTTGGGATGGGGATCAGGGAAAGGTTCAGGGATTTGGGATGGAGATCAAGGAAAGGTTCAGGGGTTTGGGATGCAGATCAGGAAAAGGTTCAGGGATTTGGGATGGGGATCAGGGAAAGGTTCAGGGATTTGCGATGGGGATCAGGGAAAGGTTCAGGGATTTGGGATGGGGTTCAGGGAAAGGTTCAGGGGTTTGGGATGGGGATCAGGGAAAGGTTCTGGGTTTGGGATGGAGATCAGGGAAATGTCCATGAAAGTATTTGGGGTAGGAATTCCTCCCTGTGAGGGTGGGGATGGATTTCCCCCAGCCCTGGAAGTGTCCATGAGGGCATTTTGGGAAGGAATTCCTTGCTGTGAGGGCAGGGATGGATTTCACCCAGCCGTAGATCCCTGGCAGTGCCCCAGGCTGGGGTTTGGAGCAGCAGGAGGGTGAAAGGTGTCCCTGCCCTGGCAGTGGGACTTGGCCAGTCCTTCCCAATGCCCACCAGTGCCCATTCCTGGCCTNCTGTCCTGGGACCCTGTCCTGGTACCCTCTGCCCTTTTCCCTGCTCTGGGACCCCCTTTCCTGGGACCCTGTGGCCTGGAGACCCCTCCCCTGGAGATGCCCCTGTCCTGGGACCCCCTGCCCTTTTTCCTTATGTGGGACCCTCTTTCCTGGAGACCCCCTTTGTCCTGGGACCCTCTGCCCTTTTTCCTTATCTGGGACCCTCTTTCCCAGAGACCCCCTTTGTCCTGGGACCCTCTGCCCTTTTTCCTGCTCTGGGACCCTCTTTCCTGGAGACCCCAATTGCCCTGGAGACCCCCCTGTCCTGGGGACCCCAATTCTTGGTACCCCCTGCCCTTTTTCTTGCCCTGGGACCCCCTGTCCTGGGGATCCCCCTACCCTGGGACCCCCTTCCCAGCGTGTGGGTGCTGTGACAGGACCCCCAAATCCCCCTCCCCAAATCCATCCCACCCCTTTTACCCCCCCCAGAGCTCCTGGTGCAGGGGGCTCTTTGTGGCCGCTCCCCTGCCCCTGCAGCTGGATGGATATTTTCCTGACTCTTGTTTATTTGTATAAATAGATGCTAATTTATGCTCCCGCCGTCTTCCTCCTTGTACATACAGAAATTCCTTGTAAATAGGCGTAGGAAGTGACGCTGTGCGCGTGACCTGCTGTGCTGTGGCCGTGGTGGTGCATTTATATATATTATATATATATATATTCTGATTTTTTTTTTTGGTTTTTTTTTGTTTTTTGGTTTCTCTCAGTGTGGTAAACCTTGCTTGTGAATATCACTTTTAAAAAGAAAAACCCACCAAAAAAAAAACAAACAACCACCCCACCCCCACAACCAAACGACGACAGAACTGTTATTATTATTATTATTATTTAAATAATAAGATTTCAGATGAAAAAATGAATTCAATGCATCGGCGAGGCCGAGCCCACTGGAGTGAATCTGCCCTGGTTTGGGGAGTCTGTGGGGTGAACAGGGCTGGTTTGCTCCAGGGCTTTGGGATCTCGTGTTCCTGTAGTTCTGTGCTTCTGTGGAGACTGTGAATAAGTGGATATTCCCGTAGCCATGACAGAGCTGCCCTTTATTTATTTCTCCTGGAGCGCTGTGTCTTTATTTTACAGATTTCCCTCTGTTTCCCCCCTCCCAATCATGATTCCATCTCCTTCCCTCCCCCCTTTCCCCCCCTCCTCTTTTTTGTGAAGTTTACTTATGGAAGAGTTACACTGTACTGTACAAATGTCAAAAGTGTCAAAAAAAAAAAAAAAGAGTACAATTTCCTAAAAATCACTGTATTAAAAGAAATGTTGTGAAGAAATAAACCAATGCTGATCAGAAGTTCCTCGGGGTCCCTGAGTTGCCAGAAAGGAGCAAAATTAATCAGATTTTTTTTTTAAATTATCGTCCTCCCAATGGCTCCTGCTGCTGCTGAGGGAGGAGCTGATCCCCCCTGGGTGTGTGACAGCAGGGACCAGGGCAGAGCACGAAGGCACAGCTTCAAAAATCAAATTACAAACCCCCATTTAGACAATTCTCATTGACACTGGCAATCATTCAGTCCTTGGGTTATGCAGGGAGTGTGCAGCTCGCCCAGGGCTGGGAGCACGGGGATGTGATGGCCCCAAACTCTGCCAGAATTTGGCTCCAGCCCCCCCTGAGCCTCTGCAGAGCCGGCGGGTGCAATCACAGCCCATTTCCAGCCCTATTTATAGAGGATCCAGGTGGCTGCAGCCCCCGGAGCCGAGGGAGTGCAGTGATTCCATCCTTGAGCTGGGGAGAAAAGCACGAGGGGAAGGAGAGAGGAGCTGCAGGGAGAGCAGAGCAGCAGCCACAGTGCAGCGGGGCTGCAACGACCTCAAATCCCTTCCAACCCCTCCCAGGCTGCTCCAACCTGCCCAGGGGCAGCCCCAGCTGCTCTGGCAATTCCATTCCAGCCCTCACAGAAAACAATTCCTTCCCCATTTCCACTCAGTGGGGCTGGAAGGTGCTGGAGGAGCAGCAAGGGCCTGGTTTGCTCTGCAGAGGGAACAAAAATCCAGCCAGGCCCTTCCCAGGGGCTGCAGCAGCTCCTCCTCACCCCGGCTCTGCGGGCAAATCCCACAAGAAATCACTTTACAGCTTCTCCTGCAGCAAGAGATTGTTCCAGCCCCAGCCCACGGCTGTAATTAGCAGATGAGTTAATCAGCAGCAGGCACGTGGAGGGGGGGTGGCTCTGGCCGTGCCCCTCCTCGGCTGGGGCGCTCCACAAAGGCCAGGAATGCACGGAAATCCCTCTGGGTCCATCTGGGTCCGTCTGCTCTGGAACAGCCTCGAGCCTCCCTAGGCCCCGGCGCTGCTCGGGCTCTGCCGTGGGGGCTCCTGCCCGGGGCTGCGGGGCTGCAAAACACCCAGGGTGAGGTGGGTGAGGTGGGCACTGCCCAGAGGGCAGGGAAATCATTGTGCCCCTGTGCTGGGCATTGCCCTGGAGCAGGGAAATCACTGTGCCCCTCTGCTGGGCACTGCAGGGAAATCATCCTGTGCCTCTGCTGGGTACTGCCCAGAGCAGGGACAGCATCCTGCCCCTGTGCTGGGCACTGCCCAGGAGCCAGGAAATCATCCTGTGCCTCTGCTGGGCACTGCTGAGGGCACACCTCGAGGGCTGTGGGGCTGCAAAACACCCAGGGTGAGATGGGCACTGCCCAGAGAGCAGGGAGAGCATCCTGTGCTGAGCACTGCAGGGAAATCATCCTGCCCTTGTGCTGGGCACTGCCCAGAGCAGGGAAATCATCCTGTGCCTCTGCTGGGCACTGCCCAGGAGCCAGGAAATCATCCTGTGCCTCTGCTGGGCACTGCTGAGGGCACACCTCGAGGGCTGTGGGGCTGCAAAACACCCAGGGTGAGGTGGGTGAGGTGGGCACTGCCCAGAGGGCAGGGAAATCATCCTGATCCTCTGCTGGGCACTGCCCAGAGGGCAGGGAAATCATTGTGCCCCTGTGCTGGGCACTGCCCAGGAGCCAGGAAATCATCCTGTGCCTCTGCTGGGCACTGCCCAGGAGCCAGGAAATCATCCTGTGCCTCTGCTGGGCACTGCTGAGGGCACACCTCGAGGGCTGTGGGGCTGCAAAACACCCAGGGTGAGATGGGCACTGCCCAGAGAGCAGGGACAGCATCCTGTGCTGGGCACTGCAGGGAAATCACCCTGCCCCTCTGCTGGGCACTGCAGGGAAATCATCCTGATCCTCTGCTGGGCACTGCCCAGAGGGCAGGGAAATCATTGTGCCCCTGTGCTGGGCACTGCCCAGAGCAGGGAGAGAATCCTGTCCTGGCTGTGCCCCTCAGCTTGGAAAGGACTTTGAGACACCCGAGAGCATCCAGAGGGGGCAAACAGAGCTGGGAACACAAACCCTGAGAGGGAGCTGGGGGTGCTCAGCCTGGAGAAAAGGAGACTCAGGGGTGCCCCCAGCACTCTGTACATCCCCTGAAAGGTGCCTGTGCTCAGCTGGGGCTGGGCCCTGTCTGCAGAACTGACACAACCAGAGCACACAGCCTTGAGAAATACAGGTGGGATATTGGGAAAAATGTTTGTATGGAAAGAGGGACAGAGTTCTGGAATGGTTTTCCTGTGGGCATGGTAGAGTCACCATCCCTGGGTGTGTTTAACGCAGCCTGGATGTGGCACTGGGTGCCAGGGCTCAGTTGAGCTGTTGGGGCTGGGTTGGATTTAATGACCTTTATGGTCTCTTCCAACATGATCATTCTGTGAATTTGGGGGAATTTTGGGGAATTCCTGGGGATCAGGGAGGTGGTGGAGTCACCATCCCTGGGTGTGGCACTGGGTGCCAGGGTTTGGTTGAGCTGTTGAGGCTGGGATGGGCTCAATGACCTTTATGGTCTCTTCCAACCTGGTCATTCTGTGAATTTGGGGGAACTCTGTGCATTTCTGTGAATTGTGTGAACTCGCAGGGCTGGCAGGGGCTCAGGGGCAGGGCTCACCCTGTATTTGAGGTAGGACAGGTAGGTGTCCCAGCCCAGGGTCACCACGTTGACGTAAGCCACACGGAACGGGGGTGGCACGAAGAGGAAGTTGAGGATCTGCGCCGCCGGCCACACGCTCCAGTCAGCCTGGGGGGGGACAAGGAGGGGACAAAGGGGGACAAGGGGCAGCTGGGGGGCTGCCCTCGGCTCCCAGCAGCACACGGGGGCAGCTCAGGGAGGGGCTCACCTTGTACATCTCCCAGAATTTCTCCTTCAGCTCGTCCCAGCTCTCCTGCAAGGATTGGCCCTCCAGGGTGCCGATGGCTGTGGGGACAGGAGGGGTAAGAGGGGATTGGGGAGGGAAATGGGGTGGGAAATGGGGAGGGAATTGGGGTGGGAAATGCCCCAAAGCCCTCCCAGTGTGGGCGGGGAGGGCAGCAGGGAGGGAAATGGGAAGGAAAGTGAAAGGGAAGGCACAGATCTGTGTGGGGAAGGGCTGGGGCTGTGCCAGGGGTGGGATGGAAGTCAGGGAATGTTCTGGGGTTTGGGATGGAGATCAGGGAAAGGTTCAGGGGTTTGGGATGGAGATCAGGGAAAGGTTCAGGGATTTGGGATGGAGGTCAGGGAAAGGTTCTGGGATGGAGATCAGGGAAAGGTTCAGGGATTTGGGATGGAGATCAGGGAAAGGTTCAGGGGTTTGGGATGGAGATCAGGGAAGGTTCATGGGTTGGGATGGAGATCAGGGAAAGGTTCTGGGATGGAGATCAGGGAAGGTTCATGGGTTGGGATGGAGATCAGGGAAGGTTCAGGGGAATTGGGATGGATCCCAGGAAAGGTTCATGGGTTGGGATGGAGATCAGGGAAAGGTTCTTCCCCCAGAGGGTGGCACTGAATTCCCCCAGGGAATGGCCCCATCCCAGCCCTGCCAGAGCTGCAGCGATGCCTTTTGTCAATTCTGTGAGG